TTTTCAGGGATTAAACTTTCCAAGTTTAATGTAATGGCTGGTGAGAGAACATGCTCTACAAATTTGTATACAGGTTCATTTGATGCACTGCACCACATACAAATCTGGATTCTGTCCAACACTATAACTTCCCACTATAAAGAGAGAGTATGTCCAAAGGAGGCCTGATTTAGAGCTTGGGCTTCATAATCCACATGTCCTTGTTCTGAGGATGGTTGTATCCAAATGTCTAATCTAAGGTTGTGCTTTGGTTCTATGACATGAGCTACTGCAAGAGAGCACTAAAGTTATCCTGCTAAGTGTTTTTTCTTCCTCATAAAGGCAAGATTAGTATTTAAAACCATCCAATATTGATGATAGCTGTACACATTGTTTAAAAAAACATCATTATGAAGATATATTGCTGCTGTTTTGTAAGAATATATTAGACCTGTGAGACCTATGATAGCTGTGGTGAATGCAATTTTGTGCTAAGCAACTTAGACTTGTTGGTGTTTATTTTTAAGCATCAGTGTCATTAAAATTGCTTCTTATCATTTAATATCTTGTAAACTCGTGTTTTGTGAGATTAAATTCTCAACACAAAACTGTAAGATGTTGTAATTGAAAATTGTGGACAATAATTAGTCATTCTCAACAGAGCCCGTTTGATGTCTCAGCTACGTGAACAAAATCAGATATTCCTGTATTCCTCATTTAATTCACCTCAGTGTTAAAATGAATGTGAAATATCCTTGGCCTTGACAAGTGTGAATTGCAAGTTATTTTAAGTGTGAGGTGTACTTTTGGAAACAGGTAATTTTAGGTTCAGTGTCGTAACAGCTCCACCCCTGAAGGTGGTGGGTGAGCTAAGGGATTGAGATTTCACCTTGGCAGTGAGTGACCTTTTGGTGATAAGTGCATTTGTCTTATCAAATGCCAGCGATGGGGATTTGCTTCCCTGTCACACTTGCCAACTCCCTAAGCATTTCAGTAGTTTTACAAATTCTAAATTGTACAAAGGTGTTTAATTTTGATGCTAAATAACCTTTTAATTATATGTGGGACTTCTGTTACTGAAGTTCAAATTCAGTAATCATGCTAAGTTGTCAGTTATTAGACAGGTTTTGAGCACTGACATCCTAATTATTAGTGGTGTTAAAACTGAATTTTGTGAGGCAGTCAAGTGGTAATTTTGCACTTTCGCTCTCTGACACACAAATACACCTGTGCCCCCTTTGCTCACAACTTTTCTAGCACCCCTCGCGCCTCCCCATCTTCACCATTCCAGCAGCCTCCCTGGTTCATTCCTGGTTCATTCGAAGGGCTATCACTGATTCAACCAAGGCAAGTTAACACCAAACACAAAAATATTAAGTATGCTATTAATTTATATTACCCCTCCCATCTTATTGTAATTAGAATTTGAATGGACTGCTGAACTACAAGTTGCCATTTTGTTTTAATTTAAAATCAAAAGATATCACCAGATAGGCCCACTTGATTTGGAATGACCAAATGTGTTTTCACATATCGGCTACAAACCCTGCCACTGCACACAGGAGAGGAAGTACATACTGTACAGATTTCCCAGACTTTCCCACCCTCTGAGAATTTGTCTATTAACGCATGACAGGCAACACCTCCCCTCAGTGCTGATTATATTGGAAAGGAGTCCCCCTACCATCTTATCTCCAAGTAGCAATGAATGTCAAGGGGTTGTGGTGTCACCAAGAGAGATGTGACCAACTAATCTCACCTTACTTGTTCGGGGAATGCCGGTTGCAGTCAGCTGGTGACATGACGCAGGCTTGATCCCAAGATCATGCAGCTCAAATTGCACTCAGTTGTGCACATTTACTGGCTGAACTACTGCCTTTTTGCCTGTTTGATCAGTGTTTTGACCATGTTTCATCCATAAACCTGGAAATGCTGTTCTTGTTTGTAATCTTTTCAAAAGTAGTTGTGCTCTGTACAAGTTGTGCTTTTAGTACACACTTTAGACTGTCTTCTCTACTACCTTAAAAGGTACGTTTCAATGTAAAAAAGGATAGAACTGAAATCTTTATAATCTTCAGTCCCTTGCCAGCAGTTCTATTAAAAGTGCCTAATGCTCAAGATTGTAGGATGTGGTAAAAAGCTGTACATTCATTATCTAAATGGGACTCTGATGGTATTTCATTATTGCTGACGACAATATTTATAATAAAATGTTCATTACTACAACTATCATTTGCATTCACTTTCACATTACAATTTTACATCTTTTACACTAAGCTCAGTCTATTAACTGTTTTGGCAGATGTAATGATTTTTCAAATTATGCTCTTGTTATAAATGATGCTGGTTTACTCCAAGTCCTAATGTACTGTAGTGCCAGATTTTTAGATATGATTTTTTTCAGCAAACACTGCACTGTCTTAGAAATCTGGGATTGATCTTTCAGTAAAATTGCCAACACACATAGCAATAGGCTCTTGGTTTTTTAATTAGTGTTACATGCACAATGTATAATATTTTACATTTGGTTTCTTCCACACTTTAAGATTACGTTTTACTGTACACGTTGAGAATTATTCCTACTGTGATGTCTTAAATCATGTTTATGTAACATGCAGGGAACTCATGCTGTAGAGACATCACATTGTATCTGTGACGGAAGCTTTAGTTCTGGACCAGACTATTGAATCATATCTGTCAGTATGATAAAATGAAAGTATTACAGGTCCCAGTGATTCAAGCATGGGATCACCATAACTATAAATGGAGAATATTGTGAGGAGATGGTTAATTTCAGTGCCAATGTTGCCCCTTGTTTGAACTAAAAACGTGACTTATTGTAGTATTACAGAACATAAACACCTCTTGTTTGTAACTGAAACATAGTTAAACACGTATATAAAATTCAGTTACTAATTGTCTCTTTATAGATATTCGTAATCATAATAAAGAAACTCAAATATCACCTTCAATGCCTAATAATAGCATTATGAATGAATGTTATTTACAGTAATTAAAAAATAGCTGGACTTATACAGCACTACCATACCATGAATCAAATCTTATTTATCTGCCCCTTAGAAAATAATTAAGTACTGTCTAAATAATAGTACTCAAATGTGATATAGTTGTAGAAAATCAAAATATTCCTTTGATTTGTGTCAGAAGATCTCTCCGTCGTCTTGATGGCACTTTCATTATTTTTAATCAGAATGTCCTCAGGAGATTTGAGATAGTAATACAAAAAGTGTGAAATTATACTTGTTACTTTCAGTCATCATTGAATGCGTTTACCATAAATTGAAGGGGGCAGAGGCAGATTCCCATCTTGCATTTAACCACTATCCTGGGGCTGAGCTTAATCTGAAGCTCCATGTCAGGAATGAAGTTAAGGGTCCTTTTGCAGACCTAAATTCACACCCCATTGTAGATCACTCCAGCAGTCAAACAGCAGCATCTTCTCCAAAAGCTGTGTCTCACCTTGAGGTTACAGAAATATATACAGTGCAATTGCCACTTTCACTGGAGAATTCCAACATCTAGCAGGGACACAAGAGAATATAGCTTTTTATTTAATTGATGTCATTAGTATGACAAGCTTATTTTCTGCTGATGGAAGTAAAATGATAATTATAGAAATAGATAAATCGACTCAGTATAACTGTAATTAATTTTAAGTGTACAGATTATTAGTGCAGAACCAATCAGGATTCTAATTATCAGATGATAAAAGTGCTCAAACTGGGGAGTGAGACCAATTAAAAGGAAGTAATAGCTTTTGACATAAGACACCACACTGTTTATTTATTTGTTATCCCATAAAGAGCTGAAATGATTGTATTGAATAACTGTATTGGGAGTATATTTAATCTCAGAAGTAGAAACCCTCTTTGGGTATTCAAAAACCCGCTGACAAAATGCTTTATTTACTATAAATAGAAACTTATTTTTTCACAGACACTAATCTTTCAAGTCATAATACTCCTTAAATCCTAATCCTCAATTAATTCATTTCCTAAACTTAATTAAACATTTCTGACTAGTTGTTCCATATGGAAATGATCAATTAAGGCAAGGTGTGAATAATTGAAGAGAAAGGAGCTGTTTTTTTTCCTAAGGCGATGAGAAATTAATTTTCTAAAACATATTTTATGTTACTATAACTGACCAGTTATTCCATGTAGAAATATCACTTAAAGATACATATTGGCAATTGAAGGGAAAGAAGCCTTTTTTCTAAAGATGACAAGAAAAACTAATACTTCTAGCATTTAGTATGCATTCTATGTAAATATCTTACTTAACAGTAAGAGACAGATGTATTTTTTGTGTTTGAGTTTAAGGCCCTACATATTTATATTTGTACTAGCTGAACATACTGAATGTGGTGTAGATGTAGTATTTGATGCAATAGCAACAGCAATAGCACAGACAGCCCAGAAAACACTTTGCTGTTCTCATATTGCCACAGTGCAAATTTTAAAACAAAAGTGCAGGTGGAAACTAACCTTTAAGATAGTGGTTAGTTCTAACACTAAAATTTGCAACGCAAAAATAAGTGACAAAAAACAAGTTGCTTTTAATATGACACATATCCTATAATTTCAATCCCAAAAATTAAATCTCAAAATATTATCAAATACTATTAACCTACAATGTAGTATTGATGAAAAATTCTAGTACAATTGATTTACCAATGGTATTTAAGAATATTTTATTAATAAAAGCAGCATTAAGGGGATCCTTTTGTGGTGTTAATCCCTGGTTAATTATAAGACATACTGTATCTCAGTGAGTAATGGAATAATCTGTGTACCATTTATGGTTTTGTTTCTTCTGATGTTTTATTTTGAGTCTTGGAATGATTAACTGATCATGTGTAACCCATTCTACTTTTTATATTTTACACTGTTACCTTTTTACAGTTCATTGACTGGACTTAATGCTGGTTGCCTTGGATCTTATTGGCTGCACAAATTAATATTACTAATAATAAATGGGTCGATCTTTCTCACCTCTAGCATTCTGTGAGGAAGGCTGCAGAAGTGGGGGAACCTGTGTGGCGCCAAACACCTGTGTCTGCTCTTCCGGCTTCACAGGTAGTCACTGTGAAAAAGGTAGGACTTCTTATTGCATACACTTCTACAGTTCCTTGTGCTTTATTAGCAATTTGTTGATGTCATTTAAGAGATCCCCTTTTAAATAATACTGTATATTGAAATTGCGTAGCTTAGAAACCCTTGCACTGGCCCAAAACCTTATGGCAAATCCATCTATCGAGTGTCATGGAGCTGTGACAAGTTGGAGTATATTCTGGAAACAGCACATGGTTGCCCCTCCATCCTCAGACATGGCAAACATCTTAATCACCATATTAAAAGTCAGAATGGAAAAGGGAACAGGTACTTCTGAGAATTGTTACCTTCTATCCCAATGGTATTTCTTCAGAAGAATTGCTTTTTTAAAACAGCTCCTGAAATTCTGCACTGTACCAACAGAGTGGTCTTTTGTTCCCAGGGGCATTTCTGTGATCATTGTGGGAATTTTGTATCGGCCTGTTAGTAATCAAAATGAGACTGGAGCAAGATATTCTAAGATAGGAACAGTTTTTCGCTTGTACTGTACCTGTTGCTCTCCTCTTCTGAAGACATGAGGTTTGCAGAGACACTGGTTGATAAACTCAAGGTTATTGTGTGGAAAATAGTTTATTTGTGACTGTTGTTTAAATGTAATGAAACCCACTAGAGATTACTGACAAAAATTACATGTATTTTTATCAGCAATTTGCAGAGCAAGAGTTCCAAATACTGTAGCTTTGCTATTTTTTAATTGAAATAATTTTTGCTTCATGCCCAGCATGAAAACATAATTCTTAATTATTTCCTAATTCTTAGGACTTGATCTTTGACCTCTTGTGCCTTGTATTTTTATGAGCACACCATTCTAAAAAATATTTATGCTCTGAAAACAAAAAAGAATTACATTAAACTCTAAAACTTTAATGTGGTTATTCTAAGTTAAATTGACCCTTTATCTTCGGAGTTAAATCTCTCATGCCACAGAGACAAAATTGCAATGGAAATTACTTCACCTTATGTCATCTCCCATGAACAAAAATCGCAGTTGTCATGGAAACTTAACTTTCAAAACCATCTGTAAGACTTTGTTAAAATTATCTTGTTCTGCAGACTTTTGTTTCTTCCAAAATCCGACAGAAAAAATTTAGAAATGTCTTCCCTGTTATGCATTGTTCCATCCATCGTTTTCATTTCAAAGTATTTTTTTCTTTTATTTTCCATCAATATCGATTTGCTTATTAAAAATCAGTTTGGCACATGTCTGCAGCCCTCTTGCACGTGCATTGTGTCACAATGACCCGCTGAGCAATCGGGAGGAGGGACACTGTGCGATACCTTAGGTGGTCAGGTGACAAGTAGGTACTGTAGCTACCAGAGAAAACAAGGGCTAGGCGAGAGACGTGGTCAAAGGCAAGTTCCGTGGTTCGTGTCGTGAAGAGCAAAGAGAAGGTTTTGAAAACAAAGGCGAGGTAGGAGCGCAAGCACCATGGCGCTTTAGAGGCGAGTTAACAGTGATTGGAGGAGGATGTGATTACAGTGCAACTGCAGGATTCATATGTACTTATCACCCCCAGGGAGTTAAAGCAGCAGGCCAAAAATACCTTGGCTGACTTAAGCTCGTGCACTGGCTATTTCTGCTCCATTGGTTGGGGAATCCTATTACATTGGGTTAATGACAAAGTCCTGACTTGAACCACTAGTTACTCATCCTTTCACTCTTCTGACAGCGCTGTTTGTATCATCCTGTGTTGTATCCACCTCTTCAGTCACACTTTTGCAAAATGTTATTAATCATTTTTGGCATTTTTTGGTATATTTGCTTCGATTTAGTAAGTAGTAAGAACACAGTAGTCTCTGTTACCTAATTCTTTAGATGCTACATTGTTGTGTGTACGTGGATTTAGTATATGTCTTTGCTTTGAGTTTCACCTTGAGGTCTAGATTAATTTAATTGAACTCATGATTGTTTCATCTTGACAAACTTCATATTTTGAAGTTTTTTCTTCAAGTTCACATCATAAAGATTCACTTCATTAATGGTAAAGTAGTTATAGAATAATTTGATGATGCATTATTACTGGGGTATGTTGCAAAATATATTTTAATCCTTGTATATTTATGACCAATTACAAGAGCTTAACACATCAAGGTTGTAAACTATATAAAGGTTTTTTAGTTTTGTCCTTATCTCAGTATTTTTCAATATTTTTCTCACTAAGCAATATCAACACGAAAATATGCTTTATAAGTATGCCTTTCTAAGAATCACTTTGGTTACAAAGCATTTATCAGACTTTTAGAATCATCTTCTACATCTAATACAAAGCATTACAAGTATTTTTTAGGCATGGACACAAGTATTTTTATATTTTTCCAGCCAATCAAATAATCAGACCATATTACTAAGTGAAAATTTGCAACAACTAACAACACTAGATATGTGTTAGTAGCAAACATACCGTACAGTATATAGTTAGGATGTGCCTCTGACTGCAACTGTACAAATATACAGTATAGTTAGACAAAAGGAAACAGTATTAAAGTCCTGAGTTGAATTCTGATTCAAGCTTCATGCATAAGCCAAAATTTGAGTTATCCAAATAAGAATGTGATTGAAATACAAAGGAGCCAGTTAATTGGATTGGATTTAGCATATCATAACAGAAATGAAATTTCAAAAGAACACAATTTATACAGTTCAATTTATATAGCTATATGCAAATAATAATAAATGTTCATATTTTGGTGTATTAAATCAACAAGGCAGTTAAAGATAACATAATTAGAGCTGCAGTATGTAACATACGTTTGCACCAGTGGCATATAATAAAAGTGAAATCTTCTTTTAAATTACCTTATTCATTTTAGGGAACCCATCACTGTGCCAAAAAAACATTTTATGAAATGGATTTTTACTACATTTTTAGATGTTAGAATTAGTAATAAGTAAATGTGGTACATGAATCCTTATTAAATATGCCAACACAAACAGGAGCTATGTATTCGTAGATTAACTACAAGCCTCATCTTTATGACTCAGATATGATAGATTAGTCAATTATCTTTATTCAAAAATCTCTTCATGTCTGTAATTTCATTAAAAATGGTTCAGTCTTATTTTCCTGACCCTGCTCTATGAAGAGCAAAGGATTTACATAGGTGGTTCTGGGCTGAAGGTTGTAATTTCAGATTTTCACACTCGTGCAATGATTTGGAACGTCGTAATGTGGAATGTTAAAGGGGCCTGGAATTGTGATTGAAGATATATTCAAATTAAAATAGCATTTCGCACAGCAGACAGGCGCCTGATGAGAAATTACTGTTTGATGCAAACAACTGATTCATTTTTCATTTGAAGGTCTCCTTTGAGTTTTTGGCTGACTAAACCATTTCATTATAAAGTAGTACATATATATTGACCATCCGTTCATGTCACTCATTACCTTTGCTGATTAAGCAGTTTGTAGGTGCTTGATTGCAAATGGCTCTTCTATTCTTTTTAACATTGACCATAGAATTAGAAGGTCTCACAAAAATCTTTTATTATACCGTTATCTATATATTATACCATTGGCCCTATACACTTTCCATCTGAGCAGAACTCACTAGTCAAAAACATGTTAGTGGACAAAATGACCTACACCCTTTAATGGGATTTTTAATTTTGTTTTTTAATAATTCTAATTTCAATCACAGCAGAGGTGACAGAGTTATGTGGTAGACAGGTGCATTCACTATCTTTTGAAATCTTTCATATTTTGAAGTCTTGAGTTGAAAACAGTTTAAAGTGTCATAACTTGTGTGGCCTCAACATTGGTATTAACTTTTCATCTACTGGTAACTCATTCATATTAAGATACAAAGGAACACGTAAAGGTTTATTCCATGCTGAAAAGAGAAGAATGGAAACACGACGTTTCGTCTCCACAGCTTTTCTTCTCTTTTCAGCATGAACTAAACCTTTACTTGTTCCTTTGCAGCCTACGCATGCTGATGCAGCTACTGTACCTACTTGAACTATTTTATATTAAGATGCAATGTAATTGTGTATTGTGTAGTATTCTGTAGCTCCTGTTCAAATAATTTATGTACAGTATATGAAAGCCTCTCTGGAATGAAAACAAAACACTTGTAACAGCAAGGAAAGTGCATCATTATATTCTAAAGCTAATGGGCTGAAGATTTTTTTGTAGCACTCCTACAGAAACCCTTGTTTCTTTCTGCAAAAAATGTGGAATTGCCAATTATTTCATATTTTTGTACCCGGTTTGGAGTCACAGTTATTTATCACTTGGCCTGATAGTTACAACACCTGTCCTGCAGAGGAGACTGAGAACAGGCCCAGCCGTCGGAGCAAATTGCTGTTTGACACACCACAAACCCCAAGGTGTTTAGCAGGAGAGAAATCAGTTTCCGAGTGATGTCACTGCAAAGTTGAAGGGCCTGGCTGGTCATAGTTTTCACTGTCTTGACAAGGGCAAGGAGACCTTGGCCAACTAATGCTCCCTCCACCCAGGCTCAGCAGTTGTGCTTGGTTGCTTGAGGAATCTCTGTCACTGTTGCCTAACATTACAGCCCGAGCTAAAATTGTCAACATCTGAAACTTTAGGTACAAACTAACTCTGTTTTCCTTTACAAGTTAAACCAAAGTGTCATTTTTCTGTTTAGAAATAATTCAGACTATTTTCAGAATGTGACTCGGGTACATACTGTACAGTAACAATGGAATCTTGATTTTTAAATAAGTATAAAGCAAAAGATTACCTCATCTCCATGCAAAATGCACTCTTTGAAAAATCCACATGACATTATCTTTATGCAACAAGGCACTTTTATTATTGAATCAGAGTATTGAGATGGAAAGCCAATAATTAAGGGTCATGGAGACTTGCTGCTGTTAAGGAGGTTTGTCTAAGTCACAGCAAAAAAATGGTAAGGTTTTAGGGCAGCTGTTCTGTGCTGTAACTGTATTGTAGAGAACAATTTAATGCTCCACATTTCTGCAGGCATTCCTCTTTGTTAAAGGAGACAATGGACAA